GAGAGTGAAACCTTTACAGATAGTAAAAGTAGAGTAGAATAAGTGGAGTGCAATAAGGAAAGCAGGGAGGGAGATGGTGCATGTGTAATTGTCACATTTCCTGTAGCTTAGCATAGAAAAGAAGGTGACAGATTGCCCTTTGTATCTTTATGACTTATCTTAATATGTTAATATAAAATGCCTCTAAAGTTTAGTACACACGATCAGAAAATCATACAAAGAATACCACTTTCGAAGCGATAGTACAATAATCTGATCGTTATTACACAGCTTTCATTTGAAATTATTCAAAGGGGATAGGATGCAATTATTCAACAGAAAATGGGACGGTTGGAAGACATTTCGGCATTTATTGTTATATTGATGGGTTATCATAGATTTATTGGCATTGTATCTTTGTTGGTTGTGTAGTTGTTCTGCATATCTTACTGGCTACCTCATTCATGTACTCGAACTTTCTATTTCTATGATTCTGTTTTATAATACAATTTTTTTACTTATGTGCCTTTTTCTTGATGTATGCTATACCTCATGAAGTGGTGCTGTTTTTGTTGTCTATCTCTCAATGAAAATATTTGTAAACAAAAAAAGAAATTATTCAAAGGGACAAGCACTAGATTTTTTCTCATATGTTACAAGATTGTACAATTCTAGTTTAATTAGCACAGGTTTTTATCCGAAAATATAATATAAATACAATACATTACATCACTTCCAATTTTTCTTTCTGTCGTGCAAGAATTTTCATAACTTTAGTAACTTCACTTTCGATTTGAATCTAGCATGCAAAAAAAAACCCCAGAAAAACAGACAACCATTTGTCTGATATTCTCATTGTGTTACGGTTTAAAGTGTTACTAGAACCACAATAGTAAAATCAGTCTGTATATGCAGTAAAGCATGCTTGTTATACATTGTGTAAATAGGCTGATTGATCCTTTCTTCTCTGCCCCTCCTTTTGTTGAAATGACCACCTGATATAGACTGAATCCATAGTCACATGCACATACTCAGTTTGGTGTGTATTGCTAGAGAGGTTTTTTTGTTTTTTTTTGTTGGGAGAGTGCATGTGATCAACACAGGGCCAATCAGCACTGACAAGACAGAGGGTCAGGGGTTTTCATCCTCCTAGAGCAGAAAGAAAACTCCTAACAAGCTTTAACCAGAGCTCTGCTAAAGTCATTTCCATGTTGGGTGCACTGTGGGAGACCAGGTATAGTGAATGGAGGGTCCTGGGGTTAGTAACACTTTAACAGATAACGTATCATTTATGTAAATAAAGTACTAAACATAGGCCAGTTATCTCATAGAACAGAGTGATTGATAGATAATTTATACAATATGGGCACATACACCATTGAATACTGCCAACACACAATTGTATGGACAGATCTGGAAGTTTGGCTTTGGACAAAGCAGCTACATCTACCAGATTTGACAACGTGCATGCATAATGCCATAGAACACAGAGCCTTGGCTTGGTCTCACCCCCTGCTCTCTTCTCATTGACTCGCTGGCTGTGATTGACAGTAGTGGAAGCCAATGGTTGCCGCTGCTGTCTCAACCAATGAGTAGACCTAGGACAGCCGAGACTCCCGATTACACTGCTGGATTATGTCGGGTGAGTATTAGGTGGTGTGTGTGGGGGGAACACTCCTAGATTGTAAACTCCAAGGAGCAGGGCCCTCCTATCCCTCTTGTATTGAACTGTATTGTTGCTGTATTGTCTCCCTTTATATTGTAAAGCGCTGAGCAAACTGTTGGCGCTATATAAATACTGTTTAATAATAATAACAGCACATAGAAGGTTTTTTACCTTCATGCATAGAATGCATGGAGGTAACAAACCTTTAGCCTTTATAACCACTTTAATTTTTTTTTTATCAAATACTAAAGAATGTATTTAAAAAAAGTTTTCTTTTTTGAGTAAGTTGCTTTTATACTGTTTCTTTTATCTTTGATTTTTACTGATTCACAAAAATATAAAAATTTAAATCTAGAATTTTTTAAAATGTTTTAACTCAACACAGTGTTATCATTAGTTGTGTTTTATCTGCTCTCAATGAAGTCTATGTGGCCAAAAACAGATATTTTCACACCACAAACAAAGCCCCTGTATTTTTTTTCAAGATGCATGGAAGAGAAATGTACAGCTGTAAACAGGTCTCATAAAAAAAATTGGTAAACGTCATGTCATGCATGGTCATGCACAGAGGTGTATTTATACCTTGTGCTTCCCTAGGCAACACTAAGGCAATCCCCCACCCTGGCTGCGACCACCACCATCCACCACCGCTGCCTACCAACACCCTCTTTCCCCCCGGCGACCACCACCACCTACCTACAACCCCTTTAGCTGTGGGATCTCTTGTGTTTGCATTGAGTGCTGTCTGGGCTCTGGGTGAAAAGTGGCTCTGGAGGGGGAGGACGAGACAGAGAGCGCTACTACGCATGAAGGATGTGACAGCCAGGGCAGCTGAGTCCTCCTCAAATCCAATGGAGGAGATGGCTTGCTCCTGCTGGCGACAGGACAGGTGAATCTGCCCAGAGTGCAGGGCCAGGAGTGGGGAACCTGTAGGAGAGCCAGGGAGGGGGAAGCAGGGAGCTCAGATGAGCTTGTTGGGGGAAGTCGCTGTGTTAGAACAGCAGGGGATGGCGCCGCCACCCTAAAAATTGCCACCTCAGACAAATGTCTTGTTTGCCTCACAGTAAATACACCACTGGTCATGCTTTGACCAACCACTATAAAATCGCACAAGCAGATTTTGAACAAATATAGAATTTAGGTTAAAAAAAACATAATTTTCTCTTTATTTCTTTTATTAATTATTTATTTCAGGTACTTGTATAGCGTCATCAATTTACGCAGTGCTTTATATATATTGTTCATTCCCATCAGTCCCTGCCCTCAAGGGGCGTACAATCTAAGGTCCATAACTCACATTCATACATACACATACTAGGGATAATTTAGACAGGAGCCAATAAACCTACCAGCATGTCTTTGGAGTTTGGGAGGAAACCGGAGTACCCGGAGGAAACCCATGCAGGCAAAGGGAAAACATACAAACTCCAGGCAGGTGGTGCTGTGGTTGGGATTCAGGCCAATGACCCTAGTACTGCCAGGTGGAAGTGCTAACCATTTAACCACTGTGTTGCTCCCTTTAAATTTTTCTTTTTCTTTTCCTTTCAGATAATATATACTCTTGTGGGGGATGGCGAGGCTTTAGCTAATTTAAAGCTTGTGATGTGTGAAAAATGGAAAAATTAGTTCTGCCAACTGGGGTGCAAAATAGGAGACAACAACAGGGTTAATATTACCAGGGAATTCTGCCTTGACACCATTTAGAGTGCCTGTGTTTTACTGTTGAAATCTTAATGCCCTAGTCTGTGACCATCAGTCATTGTGTGGGTCATCCTATTCTGTGTCTGTCATTCTGTTTGTGAAGGTTAATGCATTACAAGGAATAACATATTGTTTTCAATACATTACTGTATATCTCAGGATTCATCATTACCATTACATAATGCACCCTATGGCCCTGTGCTTTTAAATGGATAGTGAGCACCTAAGGGGTACATTATATCATATACTATATACTGATGTGTGCATGGATGGTAATGGAATGTTCCTTTGTTTTCAGTCCTTATACAAGTAATTTCAATTTGCTGGAGAATAAACACATATAAAACTGTTTTTTTAATCTTTTATCTGGTGTAAACTGCATAGAAAATGTTGTGCTCTGTTGCAGTGACAATGCATAACAACCTGTAGCCTGCTAAGTGTTGTGACTTGATGGTGTGTCTCAGACATGTCACTGCATGTCCGTACAGGAAAATGGAATAAGTACTAGCTTGCCCACATACCTCAAGGCTGCATAGCTTTTCCGAATACATAGTGGTCCCTCCCTACTAGCTTTGGCCAGCTTCACAGAATAAAAATAGACCCTCCTTTTAAGCATGTCTGGAGAGGTGTACTAATACAGCACCCGACGGGAAAGTACCATGGAATCTGCCGAGTGCCTGGGAGGGAATGTGCTAGATATATTTTTAACTCATGTCACTCAATGTCATATAAATCCATAATTTAGGTGAGATTATAGCTAGATAAATAATATTCGGTATACCAGTCACCTCCGTATGGATATTATTAAATTAATTGTTGGAGGGCTAGGAGGGGAATTAGTTACAGTATAAAAATAAGTGGCACTCTTTCCAGTTTTCGGATTGAGTGGGGGGATAGACAGAACAGCACAGTGGCTAAATAGTTAGGCCTTCTATCTGGCAGTACCAGGGTTGTTGGTTCAAATCCCAACCACGGCACCACCTGCCTGGAGTTTGCATGTTCTAATACAGCACCCGACAGGAAAGTACCATGGAATCTGCAGAGTGCCTGAGAGGGAATGCGCAAGATATATTTTTTAATTTGTGTCACTCAATGTCATATAAATCCATAATTTAGGTGAGATTATAGCTAGATAAATAATATTCGGTATACCAGTCGCCTCCATATGAATATTATTAACCTCCCTAGCGGTATGATTATGTCCATATTTCTGTGCTCAAAGCGGTAAATTTTTTTGCATGGAAATATGTATTTTTTTTATTGTAGGCCTGTAATTTTTAGAAATAACTCACTGAAATCTGTCCGAACAAGAGTCTAGTAATCATCCCGGGTAGCATAAAACTTGAAACACAAAATCATAAATTATAATTTAATAAATAATCATAAAAATAATAATATAATAATAATAAATTTAATTCAATAATATAATCAAACCAAAAACACTGAAATTTGAAATATAGCGCCAAGTTCGCACATGACTGAGCAAAGTCGCAAAATCGTTTTCTGTGTCTGATGACAAATTTCCCCACGAATCATTATCACTCAATTCTGCAAGTGGTTCTGATTTACTATCGCTGTTCTCTAACCGGTCTAAAACCGCTTTTGACCTAAAGGGACGCTTTTTGGACGCCATGGACTTTTCTAAGTTTCCAGGCAGAAAGAACAGTCAAAATGCAGGCAGGGCATAGGACAAAGTACTAGGGACAATGAAATGGTTTGATACAGTAATGTTTTACTATGTCAAATTCATTTATTAGAAAATGACAGTTTCTAAAAATTTAAAATTTGCCGCCGGTTTCGGCCTTCATACGTCCCGTACATCCTGATGCTCGCAGGGACCGGAACACGGAAGCCGGATGCCGGCATCGGCCGGAGGAGATGGTCGGGGTCGTGGCAGGGGACACATCGCGGGAGCGAAGGACAAGGTAAAAGCTGCAGGGAATCCCTGAGCAATGCCGCATGGTAAGCCCGAGTGTAGCTCAGGGTTACCACTTTTGGTACTGAAACTTTACCCCGAGCTACACTCGGGAATACCGCTAGGAAGGTTAAATTAATTGTTGGAGGGCTGGGAGGGGAATTAGTTACAGTATAAAAATGAGTGACACTCTTTCCAGTTTTGGATTGAGTGGGGGATAGACAGAACAGCACAGTGGCTAAGTGGTTAGCCCTTCCGCCCGGCAGCACTAGGGTTGTTGGTTTGAATCCCAACCACGGCACCACCCTGCCTGGAGTTTGCATGTTCTCCCAGTGCCTGTGTGGGTTTCCTCCAGGTACTCCAGCTTCCTTCCACACTCCAAAGACATGTTGGTAGGTGAATTGGTATGTTTATGTATGTGAATTAGGGACTTTAGATTGTACACCCCTTGAGGGTTAGGGACTGATGTGAATGTACAATATATGTAAAGCACTTTGCAAATCAACAGTGCTATATAAGTACCTGTAATAGAACTAGAAAAGCTACAATTTCTGGGTAAATTGTGTGAAGTGTTCTTGCCTCCACCAGTAGTCTACAACTAGAGTGGGTGGAGTGGCTTGAGTAACTGTTGTGTGGCTGGCGTAACTGTAAAAAGGTCAATGGGCGGCGTGTGTTGCAAACAAATGGTCATATTGTGAAAACTATCAGAACTATGGCTTAGCCGTGGACATTTTTAGTGGCAGCAGGGATAGCTGAACGTTTTGATATAAGATTTGTGTAGGTGGGCTTGAAAATGAGGGAGTGATGGCAGTTTAGAAATCATATAAACCATAAAATGTTGCGCTACATTCAAACTAATTAAGTAAATGTGGAATTCAATATCTCAAATAAAATAATAGCAATAATCATAAATATAATAGAAAATGTGCTAGGTGATAACACAAAAATGAGCAAAAACACAAACTTAAATCAATACGCATGTGCATAAAAAATGCACATACATATATTACATCACACGTGCAAATATGTGAAGTGAAATATGTCTAAATAATACACGCAAACTCAAAGTCCAATAATGGAATATTAAAGGTGAAAAAGAGTCCAATAATGGAAAAAGGTGAAAAAAATATTTTGGTAAACTGTGTTTCCAATATGCTGTAAAGTGACCACAGGTGAAAACAAAACGTGCAGGTATCTGGGTGTAGATAGAGCTTGTGAATCCAACCACCTTCTGGACTAGCCTCTCACCTCATCACTTCGACCCTTGCGGGTCAAAGAGCAATATGGATCCCTCTCACAGATCCTCCAGGCACCAAAGCACTCCAAAACCACTTCTCAGGATATAATATTCCCACTCAGCTCTTCTCCAGGTATAGATGAAATGTCACTTTCCCAGAACAAAAGCCCTGAGCCCTGATGAAGTCACGTGATATTGTGACGTAACGCGTCGGCGTAGCGCGGTGACGTATTTCCGGCGTGGCGGCCATCTTGGTACACCTGTGGACTCAGCTGTACACCCAACTTACATACACATATCCTCATTTGAGAGCATGAGGGTTTAATGTGGACTGGCTGCTACGTAAGTGCATTTTTAATTTTTGATGTTCCTATGGTATAATAAACATACTACACTATGGGAGGATCCCTCTGTTTTGTTCTGGGAAAGTGACATTTCATCTATATCTGGAGAAGAGCTGAGTGGGAATATTATATCCTGAGAAGTGGTTTTGGAGTGCTTTGGTGCCTGGAGGATCTGTGAGAGGGATCCATATTGCTCTTTGACCCGCAAGGGTCGAAGTGATGAGGTGAGAGGCTAGTCCAGAAGGTGGTTGGATTCACAAGCTCTATCTACACCCAGATACCTGCACGTTTTGTTTTCACCTGTGGTCACTTTACAGCATATTGGAAACACAGTTTACCAAAATATTTTTTTCACCTTTTTCCATTATTGGACTTTTTTTCACCTTTAATATTCCATTATTGGACTTTGAGTTTGCGTGTATTATTTAGACATATTTCACTTCACATATTTGCACGTGTGATGTAATATATGTATGTGCATTTTTTATGCACATGCGTATTGATTTAAGTTTGTGTTTTTGCTCATTTTTGTGTTATCACCTAGCACATTTTCTATTATATTTATGATTATTGCTATTATTTTATTTGAGATATTGAATTCCACATTTACTTTAATTAGTTTGAATGTAGCGCAACATTTTATGGTTTATATTCACTTGATCATTGGTATATGATTTAATGTTAGCAGCTGTTTGGGGTTCATTTATTATTTTAATTTGTTTTAATACACATTTGGAGCGCAGGAGGGTCACACCATTATTGCTAGTTTAGAAATCATGCCCTGATTTTTCAGCTCACACTCTAGCTTTTGTCAGCTCCCACTCTAGTTTTGAACATTCCGCCATTCATTCCTATGGGACCAATTTCACTATAAAAAACGCCGATATTTCGTGAACCATTCGGCGAAACGTTCCACAAAGTAATAGCACACCAATCAGGAACAATCCGCACGTTTCAGTATATTACTGTCTATGTAGTGTAAAAACTGTGGGAGGAGTTAGGGTGGTAAATTTGGCTATAATAATAAGAATATATATGTGAGATAACAGTAAGTGGTCTTGCCATTCAAGAACACTTAATAAACTTATTTCAGGTTTCTAATACTATGGGGAAATTTACTAAAACTGGAGCTCTCAGAATCTGCTGCAGCTGTGCTTGGTAGCCAATCAGCTTCTAACTTCAGCTTGTTCAATTAATCTTTGGCAATAAAACCTGAAAGATGATTGGTTTCTATGCAGAGCTGCACCAGATGTTGCACTCTCCAGTTTTAGTAAATCTCCCTTTATCAAACGCCCTGGAGGAGGGGCGAAACACGACAACGTATTTCTGGTTCCCAGTGGATGTGTAGTGGCGTCACGTCCGGTGAGTGGAGCGCACGCTGATTTGCGGTGCTCCAGAGTGACTTCCTACTTTCCTTAAGGGGAGATTGAAATTCATATTATCTACTGCCAGTCCACTTCTGCAAAGCAGGAATTCATATGGATTTGTGTTATAATTATGAGCCTCAGAAGCTTATTATAGAAGCGTGAACACAATTTATATCATGTGAGTGCATTAAAGGCAGCAATTTTTAGGAATAGAGTTTTATACCGTATTGCACTATTTGTGTTCTTTATTTATTTTTCATTGCCATCTAAACGTGGGAATGGTTTTTGGAGATTATCAAGTGCAGATGTATCTGGAAAGGATACACCCCGTCTTTAGAGCTTGTTTGACTCTTTAGCCATACCAGCAAAGAGTCCACTCTGTCTGGTGAGTGGGGATTGGATTGTCAATCACGGATGGTGTGAGCACTTTTTGAAGATTTTGTTGAGCACTATTTCTGGGATTGGAACACATTCTTATATTCTTACAATTTTATATTTGGGACTTTTTTTGGACTTTTTGCACATAAGGAATTTTTTTTGCGCTGTGGAGTGTTTATATTTATATTTGTATGTTTTTTCCTTTCATGAGCAGCGGCATCTAGATTTGGATTATATATTAATTTTCCTTTGGCTCAGGTTTATTTAATTTATTCATATACCATATATGTAACTACTTGAGTTAGTGGGCAGATTTTGAGTACTTAGTACGTAGCTCCATCCACTGGTTTATATGAATCATAGCTAAGTTATTTTCCACAGACAGCCCAGGGGTAGGATAATGGGCCAGCATGAAATTATATTAGAGGCAGTAAGTCACAATAGACTCCCTTGGATGATAGCAGAAATCATTGTGGTATCAGCAGGGTTTATTTTCAGTGGGAACGCTGGGGAACGCAGTTCCGGAACCTCCAGCACTGAATGTATGTAATGGCAAGGGTAATAGGGTATGCTGGAGGGTCTATTGATGTTAGCTGCCGGGGGAATCTATTGTCACTGGAGGGGATCTATTTTTGCATTAGGGTATATTGTTCCTGGGGGGGTCTTATGTTGCTGGGGGTCAAATGTTGTTGAGAGGGATCTACTGTTAAGGGAGAGGTCTTTTGTTGCTGGCTGCTGGAGGATCAAATAATCTAGCTGCTAGGAGATCTGTTGTTGTAGGGGGTCTAATGTTGCTGGAGTAGTAATTTGTTGTGGGAGTCCTTTGTTGTTGGGGGGTCTATAACACTGTTTAACACAATTTTTGTCACAGACCTGCTCTGAGCTGTTCTAAATGTAATTTTTTTCTCTTGTATACAAATATGGTATCAGAATTTTGGTGAGTAGAGGTGAAACCAAGGAATGGTGCTCAGAGGTGCATAGGGGGCGAAGACAAGGGGGGAGTTCCTGCACCTTTTCTCTGAGAAAAAAAAGCTCCGGGTATCAGCACTATGGTTTGATTTTTATTAAAGACATCATGACTACTGCTGTGAAAGAGATCCTCCTTAGAATACATTTTACAAATTATAGCTTACAAGTAGGGGTCTAGCTAAAGTCTTTTTATCCTTGAATGAAATTATGAACCAAGATCCCACGACATGATGGTAATACAAATAGTTCATACACTATAGCAAGCTAATGCAAACCAGAAGATGATACTTCTACTTGTGCAGTGAGGGGACAAGAGACCAAGAATCTAGGACCAGGCCATAGTTAAGCCATCCGGTATGCCAGATATGGCTCATCAGTCAAATTTTACATGAAGGGTAGGCAGATACATAAATGGGTAGTTGCTAAAATGCCACAAATGTGCCACTTCAAAGGTTGCCAGAGAATTCAACGAGGAGCTCTGTAGCCACTTTACAATGCTCAGATGTATGGCTGGTCTGCCATTTGGTAATCATTTGCATCCAAGGACTGATGTAAGCAGTTCAAAATCTAAACCTCTGTGAAAAGGGAAAATGTAACATACTTCCATGAGTCATCTTATTTCATTTATTACCAGCACTTATATAGCGCCATCAATTTTTGCAGGCCTTTACATGTGTATACATATAGTGCATTGTCATCAGTCCCTGCCCTCAAGGAACTTACAATCTAAGGTCCCTAACTCACATTCATATACACACTGATCTTTTATCCCAAATCCAATATCCAGACAAACTTATATTTTGATCAAGCCAAGCCACCAACTTATAATGTCCATTCCCTGCTGTAAAATGTAGTGATGAGCAGCAATTTATAGGAAGTCATTAGATGTAATGGTCAACTATGGAGAATGTGGCCAGTGTACAGGCACAAAGGCAGACTATTGAGTAGACACTCTTCTTTCACGTTTTCCCATATTTCAGGTAGACTATTTGCATGAACAACAGGATAAAGTCGAACACCTTTTTCAGACTTTCAAGCCAGTAGATTGTATCACTGTTGAACCTTTATGGAAAGTTTTGATGTATAGAGCGCAAAGTACACTCCCACTGTCTTTCTTTGAAGAAATTAAGGTTTTTCTCCTTCAAGAATAGTGTAATAAATCAGTACACAATGTTCCAGACTTGCATGACTGCATTCCAGGATGGACTGCACCTGTTCTGAAGACAAAGGGTTGCCCTGCTCCCTAATAGGCTCTTGATATTTATAAAGTGGTAGGAGTTTCCATTAGTTTGTCTACAGCTTAATACATACCTCCCAATTGTCCCTAAATTGGAACCAAATACCTCTATCCCATCTCTCTCCTTAATTGTTCAACTTTTAGAGTCTAATGTACAGACCTTTATAAAAAAAAAGTTATACTACACAGATCTTTTTACCCAACCTTTAAATGACTGTATTTGAAAAGTAGTCTGTAGGGAGTAGGAATGAGCTAAGGCATGTTCTGATCCTAGTCTGAACCCACCTGAGCGAGCCTGACAGGAAGCTGTCACTCGACTAGGCCAATCACAAGCAAACAAGGCATTCTTCAGCCATACTTATACAAGGGGTTTGTATACTTGCGTCTGCGAATTGTGGAATCACTCGGCTTATGATTGGCCCACTCCTGTGACAGCTTCCTGGTGGGATTATTTTGACTAGGATCTGAACACACTGGAGCTCATCCCTAGTAGGGAGGCATGTGTTATAGATCAGAAAGCTCCAAACAAAAAGGCTTTAAAGCAGTATTAACCTGCTTGGCGGTATTCCCGAGTGTAGCTCGGGGTAAAATTTCAGTACCAAGAGCGGTAACCCTGAGCTACACTCGGGCTTACCATGCGGCGCTGCATAGGGAGTCCCTGCAGCACTTACCTTGTCCTTCGCTCCCGCGATGTGTCCCCTGCAGCGTCCCCGGCCATTTCCTCCGGCCGATGCCGGGATCCGGCTTCCATGTTCCGGTCCCTGTGACGTCAAGACGTACGGGCGCCGGAATCGGCGGCAAATTTAAAATTTTTAAAAAATGTAATTTTTTTAAAAAAATGATTATTATATAGTAAAACATTGCTGTTTCAATGCATTTCACATACATTTTGTCCCTACTGCTTTGTCCTGTGCCCTGCCTGCATTTTTACTGTTCTTTCTGCCTGGAAAGTTACAAAAAGTCCATGGCGTCCAAAAAGCATCCCTTTATGTCAAAAGCGGTTGTAGACCAGCTAGAGAACAGCGATAGTAAATCAGAACCACTTGCAGAATTGAGTGATAATGATTTGTGGGGAAATTCGTCATCAGACACTGAAAACGATTTTGCGACTTTGCTCAGCGATGTGCGAATTTGCCTCTATATTTCAAATTTCAGTGTTTTTGGTTTTATTATATTATTGAATTAAATATGTTATTATTATATTATTATTTTTTATGATTATTTATTAAATTATAATTTATGATTTCGTGTTTCAAGTTTTATCGTACCTGGGATGTTTACTAGACTCTTGTTCGGACAGATTTCAGTGAGTTATTCCTAAAAATTACAGCCTACAATAAAAAACTACATATTTCCATGCAAAAAAATGGTACCGCTTTCAGCACAAAAAAATCAGAAATAATCATACCGCCAAGGAGGTTAAAACCCAAAACCAAACATTTTATATATTGCAGTTTACCAATCATTAGATGTGGTGGCTGCATTACTTTTTTTTTTTGGCTTTTTTTTCTCCTCTGTTATCATCTTGTGATGTGGTCATTAACACACCTCCTGCATTAAGGTGCCTCCACTCTGGATGAAGGAGCACAGGGGCACCTTTGGACAGCAGCATTGTCAGTCTGGGGGGAGGGGAGTGTTAGATGTACTAGCAGATTTAGATACACTAACAAATTGAAACCAAACACCAGCTAATACTTTATAGGCAATTACAGCATCATTTTTTTCTTTTTGGTATACAGGTTTTACATAAATAAATAAAAGCTGAACATTGTAAGCACCCCTGTCAGCGGTAATGGTTTGTCTCATCCCTGTAACTGATACATCTGCAGGACAGCTTATCCTGCTGAAAAACAACAGACTTAGTTTCTGGATAACCAGGTGAACATAAAGGAAATGTAGCCTCAAAAATAAAACTTTGTTATTTTAATAACAAATATACATACTTACCTGCTCTGTGTTGTGATTTTCCACAGAGTAGCCTCGATCCTCCTCTTCACGGGTCCCTCACAAGTGCTCCTGGCTCCTCCCCCCTGACCAGTGCCCCCAATAGCAAGCCGCTTGCTATGGGGGCACTGGTGCATACTCGTCCATAAGACACATAAAGCCACAGCTCGGCCCTGACCCCCGCTTTCTCCTCACTGGCTGTGATTGACAGCAGTATCTGTATCTCAGCCAATGAGGAGAGGGAGACCTAAGGCTTCCGTGCACATTGCTGAATCTAGAGGGGGGGGGGGAGTCAGGTAAGTATTAAGGGGCGGGCTTTGGGGGCAGCAGCACACAGAAGATTTTATACCTTCATGCAAAGAATGTATGAAGGTAAAAGACCGTCAGCCTTTAGAACCACTTTAAGCTACAACTAAATAAATGTTGGCTTTTGGGTCTAATACCGCTTTAACCCCTTGCCTACAGGGCACTTATACCCCCTTCCTGCCCAGGCCAGTTTTTAGCTTTAAACGCTGTCGCACTTTGAATGACAATTGCGCGGTCATGCAACACTGTACCCATATGAAATTTTTGATCATTTTTTTTTGAGACACATAGAGCTTTCTTTTGGTGGTATTTAATCACCTCTGGGTTTTTTTTTTTTTTTTTTATAAACAAACCAAAAACAACTGAAAAATTTGCAAAAAAAAAAAAAGTTTTTTCTTAGTTTTTGTTATAAAATTTTGTAAATAAGTGATTTTTCTCCTTCACTGATGTGTGCTAATGAGGCTGCAGTGATGGGCAATGATAGGCTGCACTGATGGGCACTGATAGGTGGCACTGATGGGCACGGATGAGGAAGCACTAGTAGGTGGCACTGGTGGGCATTGACAGGCATCATTGATGGGTACTGAAAGGCAGCACTCATATATGGCACTGATAGGTGGCACTGATAGGCGGCACTGACTGGCATTGATAGGCGGCATTGACTATCACTGTTAGGCAGCACTGACTGGCACTGTTAGGCAGCACTGACTGGCACTGATAGGCAGCACTGACTGGCACTGATAGGTGGCACTGATGCGCACTGATAGGCGGCACTGTCTGGCACTGATAGGTGGCACTGATTGGCAGCACTGATAGGTGGCACTGACTGGCACTGAGAGGTGACACTGAAAGGCAGCTCAGATGGGCACTGATATGTGGCATTCATGTGCACTGGTAGGCACTGATATGTGGCATTGATGAAGCACTGATGGGCAATGACAGCTGACATTGATGGGCACTGACAGGTGGCGCTGCTGGGGCTACACTGATCATCAGTGCCCTGATGATCAGTGTACATGTCTCCTCCGAGGAATGCCGATTACCGGCTCTCTCTCCTCTCGAGCTGTCAGCGTGACAGTTCAAGAGGAGAGAAATGCCGATAACTGGCATTTCCCTATTTACATCTGATGAGCTGTGATTGGACACAGCTGATCACATGACCGAGCCGTCATCTTTGGCTCTTTCCGTGGATCGGTGATCCGCTGTGTCCCAGGGACACAGCGCACCACCAATTGCTGCGCTACTCTCTCCCGGATCCATGCATGTGCGGTTAGAGTGGGAGGACGTCATATGACGTCCTCCCAGAACGAGAGAACCGCCTTGTGCCCATCATTACCTTATATGGGGGCGAGAGGCGGTTAAGGTGGACACCCAGCCAAAGCTTTTTTTTAGATTGAGTGAAGAAGGATAGAACCCATGTTAGTCATTTACAACTTTCTATATTTTCCTTGAATTGTGATCACTGGAAGAAAACCTGATGGGAAATCCAACATGGACTGGAACGACAATGCGCAATGTCTCACAGTAAGTCAAACCCGAAGATGGTACTAATTGTACTAATTGTACAAAAATTCTCCAACGACAAAGGTTTTTTTTTTGTTTGACCTACAAACCTTGTGGCGTAGATTGTTTTTTTGTTTATTGTTTCTGATCATGTGCAGTCTTTCATATCTGACTTCTCTCGTACGAAAACAGGACACGTTAAATGAAAATACGAAAATCGTTAGTTCTGTTCATGTACGAGAAAAATGTTTGCGTTTGTCCCGTCTGAAATTTCTGTTTGGAAAGTCTGAATCGGATGTTGTGTACACACTACACAAAAATCTAATTTTTCTTCCAATTTTCTCATGGTGTGTACCCCACTTTCACCCCTTTTTGATTTGTAACTGCCATGGTGTGCATGTGATCAGTTATGACACCATCCGTTTGATAACTTGACAGTTTGGTTGAGAACACAATCAAATGTGACAGTTAGTATTCCTGGAATGCTGGGAATGTAACTGCTTTTTGAAACCGTTAAATCGATGGGTTTAGTTCCGCTTTAAAGTCTCTATAGAGAAAATACTGCATTAATGAGTAAAAAAAAAATTATCTAGCCCTTGGGCACTGTGCTCTGCACCAATACGAGGCACTACTCCTTCCACTGACACCAAAAAAGCGAAACTATTCCTTCCATTGACATCAACGACGGGGCTCCATTCTTCCACCAACTGACCACACTTACTTTGTAATTTTTTTTACTTCCAATGAACACAAAGCCTGGGACAATGTCTACTCCTACTGATGCTGGGGGATTATACTACACCCTCTCTTGCCACAGTCTACCCCCCCCCAAAGTCTGAAGGACAGTAAACTGGCCCTTTGGTCCAGAAAGTCTGGAGACCCCCCACTAGAGTGTCCACGAGAAACCTCCAGAAACTTAGGAGGGGGGCCCCAAGGTTTCAACCTCCTAAAACGCCCTCACAGAGTTTAATCCTGCACTGGGCAAGAGGAAAGCAGAGGGAGGGGAGGTTTGCTATTTCTTGCAGCCCCCGAAATGTATTGCCCTTCCTTTGCGGTTCCTGTTTTATTTATTTATTACTCAGTTTTAATCAGTTGAACAATAAAGACTTTGTACTCTTAATCCCAACCACAGCACCACCTGCCTGGAGTTTGCATGTTCTCCCTGTGCCTGCGTGGGTTTACTCCGGGTACTCTGATTTCCTCCCACACTCCAAAGACATGCTGGTAGGTGAATTCTCTCCTGTCTAAATTGGCCCTTGTATGTGTATGTATGAATGTGAGTTAGGGACCTTAGATTGTACACCCCTTGAGGGTTAGGGACTGATGTGAATATGCAATATATATGTGTAAAGCGCTGCGTAAATTGATGGCGCTATATAAGTACCTGACACATAATGATTTTTTGTCTGCTGCTCACTTTGACCAATTATTCTTGGATAATTCTTCTCCAGCAGATAAACTGCCTCACTGACTGACCTCACCTCAGATTTTTGTTGACGTCACCTGTGGGCTGAAGAGACTGCCAGGAAAAAAAGGAAGATGGCGCTACCTTTGGGAACAGAGGGCTTGGTGTGGCCTGAAGTGGTTTTAACCACTTGTTCTCCTGAGGATGTACCCCCGTTCCTGACCAGACCATTTTTTGCGTTACAGCAATGCGTTATTTTGACTGCAATTGCACGGTCATGCAATGCTGCACCCAAATAAAATGTATGTCCTTTTTCCCCCACAAATAGAGCTTTCTTTCAGTGGTATTTGATCACCTCTGCTTTTTCTATTTTTTGCACTATAAAGAAAAAAAGACTGAAAATTTTGGGAAAAATTTTCTTTCAAATTTTATATTAAACATGTCCAGTAAAAAAATTTTTAAAAAAATCAAATTTCATCATAAATGTAGGCCAAAATTTATTCTGCTACATGTCTTTGCTAAAACAAAATCCCAATACGTGTAAATTAATTGGTTTACGTGAAAGTTATAACGTTTACAAATGGTGGTATAGATACTGGAATTTTTTATTTTATTTTTACTAGTAATGGCAACAATCAGCGACTTATAGCGGGACTGCGGCGGGCATTCTGACACTGGGGGGAACTGACTTGTGTGTACTGACTGACATCCCCAGTGACACCAATATAGTGATCAGTGGTAAAAAAAAGCACTCACACTGTACTAATGGCACTTGGCAGGAAGGGGTTAACATGAGGGGCAATCAAAGGGTTAAAGGTGTGCTGTTTTACACTGGCTGTGTCCCTGTGCTTTACTGTAAGCACAGCCATCCAAAGCAGTGTGCACAAGCTGACAGGGAGAACTGTTTTGTTTACAAACAGTTCTCCACGTTGGAGATGTCCCGGCAGGTGATTACTCGCTGGCGCCCGGTAATTGGCAGCCACGAATGGCGGCACGGGTAGGGCGTGCACGCCCCCTAACCGGAAATAGAAAATCATGTATATATACGTAATATAACAAAAATAATTTTGCGCTAAATGCCTAATAATCAGAGAGAATAAAGCAGCTGACCAGGGGCGGACTGACCATTTGGAAACTCGGGCACTGCCGGAGGGCCCGGAGTCAGTAGGGGGCCCCATGAGATGGGGCCCCATGAGATGCCCCTGGTATCTTTTTCATAGGCTTTTTTGAGTATGGGCAAGGACACAGGGGCCCCATGATTCCCTATTGCCCGGGGGCCCCATGAGTTGTCAGTCCGCCCCTGCAGTTGACATAAAATTGCTGGCAACAATGAAGGTAAAAAACTATACAAAATGTAGCGCTTAATCTCTCATAACTGGCATACATAAAAAGAAATATTAAAAAGAAAAAGTCCTTAAAGTGATGGCAAAGTCCTTCATACATCACATTTTGGGAAAAGGTGATCAGTTGTCAGAAATAGATAAAATCCTCCACCAACACCATACACAGCCTCTTACCAGAGGGCAAGACCACAGGGCATGCAGTCTTACATGATCAATCACATGGAAGAGTAGGACCAGAAAACTTTTCCACCTGAAGGCACCTCCACAGCTCGCACCACAAAGGTTGTACTTCAAAATAGTGGTTTTGAAAACATAAAAGACAAAGTAAGGAACCACAGGGCTTCTCCACCAAAAAATAACTCCTCAGGCAGTAATGTAAGATTATACTTTGTTAGACCAACTCAGGATGTTAAGGTGCATGTAAAAGAGAAACAAAGGCTCCTCATGGCATAGTATTACGAAAAAGCAGTGTTTAATAGAAGAAATACACTTACAAACCGACAGTAGTAAAAGCATATGGGTTTGCCTATTGTTTCTAACTGACAAAATGGCCGCAGTACATGGCACGATGACATCAGAGGACGTAGCTTCACGCTATACGTGATTTTGCGCACCCATGCCGCCCTGTAGCAGTTTATTCGCTATAGGGCGCTCAGGAAGCGGTTAAAGCCCCATTCCAGAATAAATCTAAATACATTTTCTACCCTTTTAAAGCGGAACTAAACTCTCCTATCCTTTTCAGCCAAGGAAGCTACCATCTTAACCTCTGTTTGATCTTCAACTGCCATGATGCTGCACATGTGATCAGTTATGACACCAGACATTTAATGGTTTGACAGTTTGGTTCGCACAAACAAATGTGACAGTTAGTATTCCTGGAATATAACAGATTTTGGAAACTGTTCAATCAATGGGTTTAGTTCTGCTTTAATGCAGACTTATGCCAGCCATTCATGGGTCGAAATTCGACTGATTTTTCGTCCGAAAATCGGACCTAAGAATGATCGGCCGATTTTCGCTCTGTTAGTGGGTCAATGGCACCGGCCGATTTTCATGGTTCCTCCCCTTTTCAGTGATCAGGCATGTTGGAAAATTGTTGAAAAATGACCAATTTTCGACTCAACGATGGTCAAATCGTACGATCGTTTTTCCGAAAAGAATATGCGCATGAGCCATGACCTGGAAGGAACAGAAGTTTAATCTGTTATATGGGGTGAACTTTACGAGTTGGTCGGCCAATTTTCTAAATCATTGATGGCACCATAGGATTATCGAGCGAACGTTTTCGATTTTTGATTAGACGAAATCGAGGAAATAATGATTCTAGGTAACATTTAGACCTCATGCACTCTGGATGTTTTTACTACAGCTCGTAAGGGCGGTTGGCGTTCTTTTTTTTCTGCCTCTAAATGCCCCTCTGTGAGCCTACACAGCCTACGACTAACACGTGACTTCCTCAGGGTCTGAGTATTGGATAGCACTTTGTGTGTGTGTTTACTACATTGGGTCCAAATAGGACCACGTTTTTCATTTTCACAAGCTTTCAGGTCACTAGAAGATCCCAGAGGGGATCAGGTCACTATAGATTTATGGTTTTTTATGAATCACCATTTATGATTTTTATTATTATTTATAATATTTGATTATTATTCATTTATTTATATATGAGCGCTACACCACTTTATATATGTTTTAGCACCATTCACTTATAGGTATTAAGTTACGGGTACTAGCTGCCACTTTTGCTTTATTTTCCACTTCATAGCGCAGGAGGTTTATATTATTATCTTTAACTACATGAACAGAACTGTCATATTTTCCTTTAGCAAAAAAAAAAAGTTGCATGAAAGTAAATACTTTATTGGAAAAAAAAACACAAAACACATCAAAAACGCACTACATGTTTCTGCTGCATGAAGTCTAATGAACCAAAAATGCACCGTGTTGTGTTTAACCTCCCTGGCGGTATGATTATTT